TACTTGTATTCTTTGGCACATTATCTTCTATTTACTTAATTCCTCAACTTGATCTCAATCACTTCTAGCCAACATCTCTTCTTGTTAGCTTCAATCCTTTCTAGCCAGCAGTTTCACAATGCAGTAGAAAACTCTATGGCTGGATTTTTCTTGGTTTCTTTGAGTACGTAGGAGCTTTATAACTTTATTCCAGGGGTGAAATCTAAAATTTGTTACTACCGGTTCTGTGGGCGTGGCTTGGTGGTGGTGGGGGTAATGTGACTGGGTGGGCGTGACCAACTTTTTTTTTTTTACTTTTAAAAGCATTTTTTCTACAACCTTAAGAGGCCTCTGACGATCAAGCAACTCAGCTGAGATCGCCAGAGGCTTTTAAAGGCATTTTTTTTCTTACAGAAAAAAATGCTTTTAAAAGTAAAAAAACAGCCTGATGATTGCGTGGCTCAGCTGGGCATGGGGGGGGGCAGGGATTTTCGCTACCGGTTCTCCGAACCACCCGCCACCATCGCTACCGGATCAGGCGATCCGGTCCGAACCGGGAGCATTTCACCCCTGCTTTATTCTGGAAATGAAACTAACCGTACTTGAATTTCAAAAATACTGCACTCAACAACTTTCTTGGTGTTCTTCTAAATTCCATATCTTGTTGAATTGAAATTTTGAGAGATTAGTGTTTTTTTAAAAAAGTTGATGTTTTTGCACAGTAAGTTATACTATAGGTAAGCTAATACATTCACTTGAATTTGCTACTCTAGCTATCATGAGCAGAAAGGGTCTATGTTACAATTGCAGTTTCAGTACCTTCGTGAGAGCAAAGAGGGATATAGGTGGGAATACCATTGACATAAAGAAGCTCAGCTTCATTTATTTCTGCGAAGGTTGGAAACAAGGATAACTTCTATATCCTAATTAAATTGCTGTTGAATTTCTAGCTTAAAAGCATCCCTGTTTTATAAAAGACAATTAACTGATAAAATCAGAATCTGGCAAAGCAGAGGTGAATCATTACTCATTGAAGTTGATAGGTTTTTGCCTGGAGACCTTTATTTTTTACTTTTTACTTAGCAAAATGATGGCTGCAATATATAAATATATTAAGCAACAATATCCATTAAAACTTTTCCACAATAAAATCTTATTTATAAAACAGTAGTAAAAATGAAGATGGGGCAGTCCAAGTTTTTCCCCAAAGGATGTCAAAGCGGATAAATTTCAAACCAGATGTCACAAAATGACCCACAGATTCTGCAAGGCAAATCTAATATTTCGCCTTTAACAGATGGCATTAATGCTTTGGGGTCCCTTTGCCTGAAGTAAGTTCTATTCTTTGTAAAGCCTCAGTTACTGGGTCCACACTGCAGTTGCTACTTGAGGATTTTCTATTTTGAAGAAAAACTTTCAGAAACATGTTTTGTTCTTTCACTCACTATGATTCTACAATCTGTATTCTACATTCTAGCTGAGTGAATTTCTTTCCCCAATTCCTTTATCTTCCAAGTCTTCTTTTTCCTTCCATAATTTTTTCTCACACTTTGTGATGGTTCTACTCAGAATTGCTAGTATCTCAGGTTCATTATTCCTCTGGATTAGGCCATTTCTGTTTGTTTCTTGGATGAGATGTGAAATGTTTTCAAGGAAAAAACCCAAGAAAATCCAGTTGCCTTTTGAAAAACATCTTTGGGACAACCATGACCTGAGTGATTTAGAATCCCCATAGACTTCTATTTCCCTATCTTTTCTCCTCTTTCCATCTTGCTGCCTCTATGTAATCTTCTAAGAGTAAAAATAATGGTTATGAACTCTTAAATCAAATTATTTACCTATAGAAGCAAATAAATGATTCCAAGTACTCTTTTATATGATCACTGTATACATTGCATGAGTATGTGTCTTATATTAAATTTTTGTCTATTAAATGATAAGCAGAAATGAGTAAGGACAATTGTTGGTAGTCTTCCAGAAGTCGATAAACTACAATTCCAGTATCTCTCACTAATTTGCAACATTCAAGTCTAAATAGCAACTTGCTGTCCAGTATGCTTCTTCAAAGCTTTGTATTGGAGCCAAAGTTTTTATTCTACTTAATATGTTCCCACTAGGAGAAAATAGAGAGGGCATTTTCATAAATTATTCTCTCTCTGCAGTCCTTAATGCAGCATCTCCCATGTTTGAGAGAAGTAGGAGAAAATGACCTCTTCTTCTGTCCATCCAGAAGTAAGGAACTGTTAAATCAAGAGTTTCCAATAATTAAAGAAGCTTCTTTTACTAAACAACCCATACAATCATCCTGTCTTTTTCAAGGACAAAACCTGGATAGTGGTCACCTTATGTTAAAATCATGTTGATTAAGAATAGTACTTCTAATAGTAGAAAAATGGATTCAGTCAGGTCAAAGCAAAGAAATACACAAACATCCTTGGTTTGTCTGTAATTTAGTATAGCATTTGAAAAATGGTGTGTTTTGCTTTCCTCTTCTTTCTGCATAATGACATGTGACTTTAACCCTCTTAAATTGCAATCCTAGCCCTATTTGTCTGAGAATTTAACTCATCATAATTTTTACTGAACAGAAATTAAATTTTAATGGAACATTTGATTGGGATTTTATGTATAGTGCAATGAGAAATCTATAAATGCAACGTTACCATTGAACAGTTCAAGTGAATTTACGATACTGTCATGCAAGAATTCTATATTAGTTTGAAAACAGCTCCAACGCACTGGCAACATGTGAGAATGGCATTTCTAGGGCAGCTCTGACTCAATGCGTACCTGACACTACCACAAAGCAAGACTTTAAAAATGCTGCATTTCTGTGAAGCTTGTTGGTAGCATGTTTCACTATTTGTTAGAACACTTGCCTATTCTGTCTCTTGTCCTTCAGCTGCTCTAACAGGTTTTTTTTCAGGAGAAATTAGAAGATATGCTCAGATTTTATACAGAATAAAAATCAAACATATATGCAATGTGAAACAAGGATATGAATTGTAGTTTAGAGGTGGATAGAAAACAGTTTTTATATAATGCTAATACAGGTAGTCTCCTCCTATGACTAGTTGCTTAGTGATCATTATCATGATCCTCCCAAAAGTTATTTATGAACAGTTTTCAAATTATGATGGTCGCATACAAACCCTGTGGTCATGTGATTGCATTTTGGGCACTTGGCAATTGAATCACCTTTACAGCCATTTGCAGCATCCCTTGGTCATGTAACCAGGTTTTTTTCAGTATTTTTTTTGCCAGTTTCCAGTTTTCAATTCCAATTTCCAGGGAAAAAAGTGCAGGGAAAAAAAATTGGGTACAGTGGGTTTGCTTAACAACTGTGATGTTCACTTAATAAACACTGCAAAAAATGTTGAAAAAATGGGTCTGTTCACATGACGCCTCAATTTATGAATCTAAAGACGTAGAGTTGTAATTCCAGACTCAATTACAGTTGCATGTCAACTGTAGAGAGTTAATTGGACACTTTCTTAAAATGAAGCCAGAGTAGAAAACTAACTATAATTGCTATAAAGCTAGCTTGGAGAAAGTTAGAAAAGAGTTGATAGGCTATAAGGGACAGAAAGAAAATGAGTCAACTGGCATGTGTAAAAGACAGAAGATTTCTGGCTCTTATAATAAACTATGAGTTGTAAATACAAGCATAGCTTTTGTTCCTTAGCTTTAAATAGAAGCAACTTAGATCCAGATGAATTGTTCATACAGTGTTATCTTTAAATAAATTTATCCTTTGGGATATATGACAAAATACACTATTCTCCCTATTTTTAAGTTATGAATAATCAAAGTACTTTTGAAGAACTGAGAAGAAAAAATGGGTGGTATCTTAGGTACCTCAGTGTTCTTTCAAGTTTGATTAATTGCTGTCTGACAGATCTTTTTCAGTCTAAATAACAAACTTTTTAATAACTACTCTGTCCTTTTCAAATCTACCCTCTGTTCACCAAGTCAACCAGTGATCCTATTCCATTAGATCAGGGATGGGGAACCATGGCCCTTTTATGACTTGTGGACTTCAACTCCCAGAATTCCTGACTCAGCCATGTTGAAATCCACAAGTCATAAAAGAGCCATGGTTCCCCACCCCTGCATTAGATCATTCTGCATATTAGCTGGCATTAACATTCTTTTTTGTCTTGGTTCCTTTCACTGAACAAACCCACAGCTCATCTGTTTTGTTTGTTTTTATTTTATTTTTTTGCAAGTCTGCAGAAAGGGTGACGAACTGTGGATTTGTTCACAACTGACTGATCTTGACCTCTGCTTTTACCTTCTCTAATCAGCATTTTGCCCAAACTCCCTTACAACTGGCTGCACATTTGCAGGCTCTGATTCTTGAGACTTGGGTGCAACCATGTGTCAAGCTGGGACACACTATCCTGTAATTTTATTAGATATCTTTATATAGGTGAAAGATAAACCTGAAAATATATAAAGGGAAATAAAGGAAAGGGAAAGAAGCACAGGAAGCAATAAAAAGAAAAGTATTTAAAAAGAAGTGACTTCGGATTTTTACAGCAATTACATTTAGTATCTCTCCTCTTTAAAATTATATTGCGTGGTTCTTTTTCTTCCATTTTCAACCCTTTTTAATCAGCACACCCATAAATCATCAATTCCTCCCCCCCCCTTATTTTCAACATTTTATAAAAGTTGGGACACACTCTTCTGCCTGGCACACACAATCATAATTAATTTTAAACCCATGTTTTAATATTCCTGTATTAAGACCGAATTCACAGAAATAATAAATTTCTCACAGAACTAACAAGAAAACATAAAATTCACAAATTTTGGAGCAAATTCAGCATTTACAATTTCCTTTTCTTTATTAGTTTACATTTATTTTCTAGCTGATTTTTCATTTCTCTTTTATTATAATTCTTTTCCTGTTTATTTGTATGTTCCTCCTTTGATATTGTAAATGTCTGTTAGCTGAGTGTTAAGGGAAACGGTCTATAATTCCTCACTGAGAGATTCAGCAATCACACAGGAGATCAGTTTAAATTAAATAACTTTATTGTCATTGTACGTGTATACACAATATACCCATACAACAAAATTCAGTTTTTTTACTACAAAAAACTGTATTTTTTACTACAAAATGTGTTTTATTATACAATTGTTAAAAATATACCAAGATTTCTTATTCATGTCTCTTTTAAACCTTCTTCCTATATATTTCTAGATAACTGCTCATTTCTGTTTTTATTTTTCTCCTACAGTCTTTAATCTTAAAGCTTCCTTTTTCCACGCAAACATTAAGTTCTCCCCTCCCCTTTTCAATCCTTCCTGCGTATTTATCTCTGTTAACAGTTTCTTTACTCTTTGGCTGATTTACAGCTTAGTTCCTAGACTTTAATTACTTCATTTTTCAAATTGTTATTATGGCTTCTTTCTCTCCTCCCTCCCATCTCTGGTTTTGCTTCTTCCAGATTCTCCTTCCAAGTGTTTGAGATCACTTGAAAAAGAATTGAATTGAACTGAACTGAACTTTATTTGGCCAGGTATGATTTGACACACAAGGAATTTATCTGTGGCACAGTTGTTCTCAATGTACATGCAAAGCAAGAATAATAATAATCATAATACCAATAAAAGGGATAGTAAGGAAGATAAAGATAATGCTACAGCCATACAACATGGGTAAATGTACATAAGAGATTAGACAGTATTGTGAAAATTAGGTGTTCAGCAGAGTGATGGCACGAGGGAAGAAACTGTCCCTGTGCCTAATTGTTTTGGCATGCAATGCAACTCCGAGGGGAGGAGTTGGGCGTTGGTCTTACCTGATACGCCCTTTCTGTGATAGGTGGGCATGGCAATCATGCCTGGGAGTGACACTGCCTTGCTCAATGAGACCGAGTCTGCTGAAAAGTTCTTAAGTCCCGCCTCTTCCTGTGTAGTCCAGTTTTGAGACGAGGTAGATCAGCAGACTGTCGTGTCTGTAAAAATAGAAAACATATGAGACTGCCACCCACCCCCATGCCCAGGAACAGCCCAACAGGGAGGGGCTGATTGCCATGCCCACCTATCACAGAAAGGGTGTATCAGGTAAGACCAACGTCCATTCTCATGACGGTGGGCACGGCCATACCAAAGCCGATGTCCTATAGGGTGGGTGCAGGCCAGATCCAGGAAGCAGTCTCCAGATGTACTCCTTACAACACTCTCCGTCCAAATGCCGCATCAGCCGAGGTGTAGGTATCCAACCGGTAATGCCGGATGAACGGAGTAGGAGAGGACCAGGTGGCCGCCCTGCAGACTTCCTCCAGGGGAGCCCTGGTGGACCAGGCCACAGATGTGGCCGCGCTCCTTATGGAGTGGGCCGTAATATTCCGGTTCGAGTATGCCAGCAGTCACTTTCAGTACTGCGCCATGCCGTTTGGCCTTTCATCGGCTCCCAGAACCTTTACCAAGTTGGTGGTGGTGGCAGCGACACTCAGGGTAGTCCCGGTACGCATTCCCTGCTACCTCGACAACATCCTCGTTCTATCGTCCTTCCCGACCCAGGCAGTTCGCGACATGGACTTGGTGATTCAGACATTTCAACAGCACGGCTTTTCCATCAATATGGAGAAAAGTCAACTGATTCCCACTACCCGCCTCGTTCACCTCGGGGCGGTGATCGATTCTGTCAAATGTCAGGTGTTCTTATCCCCTGACCGAATTCTCAGCATCACAGACTTGATGAGGCAGGTGGTGTCCCAGAGGTCCGTTCCCTTATCTGTCCCAGCTGCTAGGGAAGATGCTCTCATGTATCACCATCATTCCCTGGGCTCACAGACACACTCGCCCCTTGCAGTGGTTTCTGCTGCCATTCCAGAGGACGGGACACAGCAATTCCACATGCAAGGTCATCTTGCCTCAAGTGCGTCTGTCCCTCAGATGGTGGACATCGGCGGCTCTCCTGAAGGGCTGCACCTTTCTAGAACCAGACCGTCTAGTGCTGACCTCAAATGCGAGCCTCTACAGCTGGGGTGCTCACCTTCTCGATCAGGTGGCTCAGGGACAATGGTCCCCAGCGGAGCGGGTGAACAGCATAAATTGGCTGGAGTTGCGGGCTGTTCGCCTGGCCCTTCGCCATTTTTGGGCCATACTGGAGGAGCAACATGTGCTGATTCTCACGGAAAACATATCCACGAAAGCATATATCAATTGGGAGGGGGGGCACTCGATCCAAGCCCCTGATGCTCCAAGTGGAGACTGATGAGCTGGGCAGAACGTCACATACTGTCAATCAAGGCAGATCACATATCCGGCATCTCCAACGTCCGGGTGGATTGGCTGAGCAGGGAGAGGATCTATCCGGCAGAATGGCAGCTTCATCCCCGTCTCTTTCTGGAGCTGTCGCAGTGGTTTGGCCGCCCCGTGGTGGACCTGTTAGCTAGTCCGCAAAACGCTCAGCTCCCAAGGTTTTATTCATGGTTTCTGAGCCCGGCGGCAGAGGGTTGCAACGCGCTTCGCTGCTGTTGGCCACCCGGCCTACTTTATGCATTCCCTCCCATCCCTCTAGTCGTTCAGAAGCTGCGGGCTGAGCGAGCGGAACTGCTTTTGGTGGCTCCTCATTGGCTGCGCCGGCCATGGTTCGCCAACCTGGTGGCCTTCTCCGTGTCTCAGCCCTGCATAATTCCTCGCCAATAGGTCTCTCTCTGCCAGGGGGTCATCCTCCACCCAGAGTCTCAGTGGCTCCAGTTGACCGTCTGGCACTTGAGAGGGTCCTGCTGAGGAAGGACCGTCTTTTGGAAAAGGTGATCCAGGCTTCCAGGCGGCCATCGATGGCCCATATCTACGAGGCTTCGTGGAAGACCTTCTGTACCTGGTGTTCGAAACAGCACGTCGACCTGACATCCGCCTCAATACCGGAGATTCTTGACTTCCTGCAGGCCGGCTTGGATAAAGGACTTGCTCCAACTACCTTGCGTCGGCAGGTAGTGGCTTTGTTCTTACCTGTGTACCATACCAGTCGCTCTTTCACCATCCGAGGATTCGGGGATTTCTGCACGGGGCCACAAATCTCCGCCCGCCGGTAGTGCATTGCTACCCTTTGTGGGACCTACCCTTGGTTCTCCAAGCTCTAACGTCTGCCCCATTTGAGCCATTGGGCTCCATTAGCCTCAAATTTCTGTCCTTCAAGGTCGCCTTTCTCTTGGCAATTACATCCGCCAGGAGGACTTTGGAGTTGATAGCCTTGTCCATCCGGAAGGACCTCTGTATATTTCATTCCAACAGAGTGGTTCTAAGGTTGGATCCTTCATTCTTGCCCAAGGTGAACTCCTGGTTTCACTGGGCCCAGGAGCTCATCTTACCTGACTTCTGCCCGGCGCCGCAACATCAGTTGGAGGAACGTTGGCACACCTTAGATGTGCAGCGGGCCCTCAGCCGGTACATTAGGCGGACAGCTTCCTTTCTCCGGACCGAGGCTCTCTTGGTGTCCTTTCATCCATCCTCTATGGGTAGAAAGGTCTCCTCTTCCACAGTGGGCAGGTGGATAAAGGCTTGCATCTCGACGGCGTATGAACTCAAGGCCAGGCCTCTTCCTGGCAGGATTTTGCCCCATTCCACCCGTAGCGCAGCTACTACGGCAGCTTGGGCTACCCAGGCTTCCGTCACTGACATTTGTCGGGCGGCCACTTGGTCATCCATTTCTCCTTTTATACGTCACTACAAAATTGACAGCTATGCCTCGGCTGAGGTGTTGTTTGGTCGGAGGTATTACAAAGTGTGCATTCTGCCACGGACCCCGGGAGCAGTCAGCCTCCCGCCCAGGAGTCTTGAGCTTGGGTATATCCCATCCATGGATAGTAGGAGCAGCGCACTGGAAAACGGACGTTGTCTTACCTGAACGTCCCTTTTCTGGGCGCTGTGACTACAATCCATACCCTCCCTTTCGGCTTCCTGCTCCGGGTTTCCAGGGTGGCCTTGGTTTCTGTTTTTTTCCACCTTTTTGGTTATAGACTATTGATTGACTGTGCCTTTGTGGCAAAAGACTGAAGGGTTGGGAGCAAAGGAGGCATGGTCAAGCGAAGAAAGAAGAAAAAAAAGAATTTACACTCAGTCTGTCAACACATGAGGAAAGAACCCATCCATGGATTGTAGTCGCAGCGCCCAGAAAAGGGACATTCAGGTAAGACAACGTCCGTTTTCACATAATTAAGCTGTGATCTTCCTAAATAAAAGTTACAGTCTAAACCTGCTCTGGTGCGACAAAAAGTTAAACAATTTTTCATTTTCGCTTACTGTAACAAGATAAAACCACTACAAGTAAGCAGTAAATTCAAGCTTCCTTGAAAAGGGAATTAAACAACAAGGGTACATTTTTAAGCAGTTTCCTGTATGGAAATATTTCCATTATTCATTATGAGGTAAACTAAAATTTGCCTTGCTTCACTTAACATACCTAAAATGAATGCTGCTACTAGTCAGGGTTTTTTTTTTAAAAAAAAGATAAGATTCTACTAAAGCAGCTTTTAACCATCTGAGAGAGTAACAATCTTCAGCTTGCACCCAGTTTAAATAAAATTTAATATAAATAAGCATATAAATGTAAAAATATTCTGAGAATTCTTTGTAATTTTGTTTAAGTCTGCAATTTTGAAGAAAAATGATTATTTTCTTTGGTTGGCAGTACATCAAAGTCTGGCAAAGTGCTGTTTTAACTGATTAATAAGTTGCTGAGAGTCCACATGCTCTGGAAAAATTTCTTTGGACTTCTGAGCTTCTATATAGCTTCTTTGGAGATCTCCAACCTGCAGAAAAGCAAATATACCAAATGACAGAAATGCTACTAACAGCCTTATATGTTAAGATTTCATCTAATGATTCACTTTTAAAATATTTATATTCTAACATATATAGTAAAAGACACAACCCTAATTTAGCTTCAAAAAGTTCATGTCCTATTCATTTTGAACTCTAAGGCACTCTGCATGGGGCTGTCTTTGAACACAGTACAAATGCATGGACTGCTAGGATAAGACTGGAACAAATACTTCAGATGAGCAAATTATATAAGACTTCTGTAGTAAAAATTCAGTTTGTGAATTTATTGCTTTTCATTCTCCTTTCCAACCTATTTTTCTTTTTGTCAAATCTTCTAGGTACATCAGATTTGTCTTTCATTTGTAAACTGATTTAATTTATTCCCAGGCAAATTTCGGGACAAAAATACTTAAGATATACAAACTAATAAACATATGAAAAAAAAGGGTGATGACAATACCTTTTCAGACAAGACAGCAAAATTGAAATGTGGCTCATACATATGAGGTGCTATTGATGAAGCCGTCTGCAGAAACACTCTTGCCTAAAACAGAAACAGTGTTCGTATTTGTACAGGTCAAGGTACTCTACACTCCCTTTCCATCTTGGTTTGTCCCATGTTATTCTAATGTAATAACTTTTCTTAGACTAAGTCAGATCACTGGTCTATTTAACTTTACATACAACACACTATAGAATAATAAACACTCAAATTATCAGGTTTTTTTAATTTAATTGAACTGAACTTTGTGTCCTCCCCTCACACTCTTTTGTCTTACATAGAGAAGACAATGTACCCTTGTGAATATGGGCCCTTCTGCAAGTCAAACTCAGGCTTGTTAGTTAAACCAAGATCACTTCCTCAAGCAGAAACTTATTTTAATTAACTTTTAATATCTCCTACACATTATGTATTATTAACTGCACAGTCAGCCATATATTTTAGACTGGATTTGCATTTTTGTTCACCTATCCATCTCCCCAAAATCCTGGCATAGGCAGATGTTTTGTTTTAATAACATCAGAAGATATCCTCACATGATGTAAGGTGTTCCAAATAAAGCTGCCTTTTGCAATTGACTGATGGTGATTTTGTCAATGCCAATGGTGTTCAAGTATGTTCCAGATGTTCGGGGAACCAAGGCACCTCTCATTATTCATACTATATCTTTGCTTTCTTTTGCCACAGTTCTACTTCCATTTGCAGATCTTTATATTTTGTGATTTCCTCAAGTTCTTCTATTCTGCTGTCTCCAAGTATTGCAATGTATATTATACAGATTTTTGCTTTCTTACTTGTTAAATTTGGGGAGCTGTATGGCAGATGCTTGTCTGTTTGAATTCTAAAGTCCCAGGTGCTGGCTTCTTCATTTTCTATTACTTTGTCTATTTTGTGGCCCCATCAGTTCTTCCTTGCAGGCAAGTGATATTTCTTGGTCTTTCTTATTCACAATTGTTAAGTCTGTGATATTATTATTATTATTATTATTATTATTATTATTATTATTATTATTATTTATTGGTTAATCTTTAGTGAGATTCACAGCCTTTGAGGCTGGTTAATAGCTCAGCAGCTCGAGTCCTAACCAAGGACCTAGGAACTGTTAAGGTATCGTCGGAGGATGTAAGCTGTTCTGAGTAAGGTGGTTTTTTGTAGAGTCAAAATGTTCAAGTCCGGCAAATTTAGAATTTCTAAATAGTGGGGTAGCCCTTTGGGTACTGCTCCAAGGGCTCCAATTACAATCGGGACAACACACGATTTCTTTTTCCACAGCCGCTCAACTTCAATTTGCAAGTCCCAGTTATTATTATTATTATTTTCATTAAACATGAAACTCACGTCAATTGAACATTTAAAGATGTATCATAAATATTATTTACTGACACTGATAGTTGATACGGGTTGCTGCCAGCATCCTAGGTATCGACCAAGTATCTTCTTAAAACGTATGATGTTTTGAGTAGTGCAGTTTTTTGCAGTTCCGCTGGTATTATTGAAGGAAGCTGTAATTTCTTGATGTATTTTGTAAAATTCTTGGACATGGTGCCAAGTGCCCCGATGACAATGTGTATCACTGTCACATGTTTCATCCATAATCACGTAGTTTCGATGGCCAGGTCATGGTATTTTGTTATTTTTTCTAGTTCTTTTTCTTCGACTTCAGTGTCTCCTGGTACAGCGATATCAATAAATTGTATGCTTCGGATTTCGACAACTGTGATATCTGGCTTGTTGTGTTCTACATGACGATTCATCTGTTTTCGAAAGTCCCACAAGATCTTCACCTTCTCATTTTCGGCAACTTTTTCCACTTTGTGTTCTCATGACTTTTCAGATACAGGGAATTGTTCTTGTTCTTGTTATGGTTGTTCTTGTTGTTATTATTATTATTAAAATGTATATATCACTTGACTCTTCCTAGGTGATTCTAGGCAGTTTACAAATAGTTAACAACATACAATTATGCAAAATTATTTATATTCACACTTAAGCAGTAGAACATACTCTGAAACCAATAATTTTTTTTAGCAAAATCCTGTGCTGGGAAAGATGCATGTACCTATTACAAAGCGATTCTTGTGAGTGTCTACCCCACAGCTCTATTCTTGTGACAAATGCTTTATGCAATTCAAGGTGCTGGTGATTACCTATAAAGCCCTATATGGGGGCCAGGGTACCTGAGGGAATCACCTTTTTCCAAGAGTCTCTACCCATCCAATTAGATCAAACTGGATGGGCATGTTGCAGATGCGTCAGCCAAAGAATGTCGGCTGATGGGAACTAGAAGACAAGTTTTTTTTCCTGAGGCAGCCCTTCTATGGAACATCTTCCCTTTGGAGATTAGAATGGCCCCAACTTTGTTAGTCTTTGGTAAAACTTTAAAGACCTGGCTGAGTTCCCGAGCCTGGGGCACTACATGCACCAAGGGTCCCTCCTCCATGCTATATGTTGTTTGGAAATAACCATTTGTCTAGCTCTGATTTAGTGCTATGACTGAAATTAAATATGTTATTCTGAAAGATACAGTTTATTATCAATTACCTCAACACTAACTTCTCTGTATAAAATTATTGAATACAACCAATGGTTTAGATTAAAGGTGGAAATTTCTTCTAATCTCCAAATTGAAAGACGGTCTGTGCACTTGGTCCAACTGCATGGTTATGAATTATATGAAATTTGAACTGTGTGCCCACCATCAACTTGGATATGCAATATTCAATAACAGAAATGTACATGTCTGCTCAACTGCAAACTAAGCTGTAAATGACAGTCTACAACTTACTGCAAAAAAACAGGAAGCAAACTGAAAGAAAATATTTAAAAGAAAAGATGCTATACATATATATACATACATACTACAGTGCTACTTAGACATCACTGTATATGATCTTTATTTATTACAGCAAAGGATTGTGCAGATGTATATTTGATAATTTCCATGGTAACTGCTAGAATACTGAAGCAGTAGGTCTGAAAGAAGTTTGATAATTATGAATAGAGTTTTAATTAAAGTATGTTTTTGAAACTTAATGTATGCTATGGTTCATCTGCTAAACTAATGCATGCTAGCTTGGAATTCTGAGAATTTATATCCACACATTTTAAAGTTGCCAAGTTAAGAAGCACTGCAATTAATTTGTTCATAGTTATCCAAAGAGCAAATCTTAAATTCTATACTGGTTAAAAGTATTCAGAGAAATTCATATATAAAAACAATTACATAGATTTCATTTTTCAACACTGTTTTCGGCTTGGGCATGGCACCCAGTGTTACAAATACAAGTTTCATGTCCTCCAGGACTCTGACAGTGGGTTTACTTTACAATGCACTCTATATGCAACTCTTTTTCTTGGAGGACTGATTCAGTGGGGCTTTACAGCTACCATATTTTTTACCAAGTTACAATGTTTGTAACATAATTGACTCAATAAGGATAGCTTAAATTTCTTTCTTCTCCATATTATGTTGGCCATTCTGGTTTTCCAGAATTTAATCTTCCAAATTGCAAAAAATTTGTGGTGTTTCAGCCAAAACAGTCCATATGCCAGACTGATCACAGAATCAGAAAATATTTTTGATTCAAAGGATAGAGATCTGAAAACACCCATTAAGGCTGTATTGGTACAGCCTACAGGCAGAACTGAAACATGTAATTAATTCTGTGGAATATTCTGCTGCTGCAACACTACGTTTTGTACGTATCAAGTTTAAACAAATCTCTGACCTCACTGTGGATTGATTAAAGGCCTTTGCACAGTTGCTTTTCCTACCATTGATGTAGCCTATGAGACTTCATTACTATGGTTCTCATTCACCTCAAAGAACATTATTCCTAAAATACATTAGCTATAGAAACTTAAAGACCCACCTTCGTTTAAATTTGATACTAACCTGCTCAATGTGACCTTTTTGCATTTCCAACACAGCCAAGTTATTATAGGATTCTGCATGGTCATTGTTGTTAGCCAAAGTCAATTTGAAACATTGATGAGCCAAATTTCTATCACCGATTCCCTGAGAAGTCAAAACACAGAATATGTCCATAGTTTCTATATACCAGGTAATTTTTCCCTATTCAGATATTATAAATCTGGAAAGGAGATATGGTTGTATGTGGCACTCTTGCTTCCTCTTAGTCCTGAAAGGATTGAACTGGGAGTATCAAGAGAGTGTAAAGATGTTCCATACAATGGGAATGTAATTTTGGCAAGTTTTGTGACCACATGGGGTTTTTAAAACAATACTTAGAATTAGGGCTTCCATTCAAACCTTTTATGTAACAAAAAGTGGGAATTAAATTCTTCCATTTTTATTTATTTTTCAAATTTATATTGCTGCCCATTTTACAAAAGAAATGATTCCTAATTTTATCATTGTAGAAAACAGTGTTGTACTATCTGGAATTTTTACTGGATTCAGTACAACTTGTATTAACTTTCTTGAAAGCATAAGGAAGGAGGCAATATCATGCATTATTTCAGTTTAAATGGAAGGTATTTGACAAAATTACCAAATGATCAACCACTTTCTGCCAGAATTCATTTATAGCTATAGGATGTGAACATGCATTTAACTTGGGAAATTAGAACTAGTCATGCAAAGAAATATCCTATTCTAATTCCTGTAGGTCTGGAATGAACATATATTTCCTTTGGTTGGGGCTGCATTTTGTTTATTTATATCATTTGTAATCCACATATTTCCTTCCCTTTTGTGATACTGTCATCATGCCTCTTGGATGGTTGCAGGATGTCTTTGAGCAAGGCCAACATTTTTTGCCCTCTTGGAATGTTTGGGGGGCTGCAATAAAAAGTCACTAAAACTGCAGGTTACTCATCCCTGAGAAATATCTTCAAAACTTTACTAATTTTTTAATTAGTAAAGTGAATTCAGCAAATTATAATAAGAATTTTATTAGATCAGTATTAAAATCCTTATGTTAGCAGTTAGCATACTTTCATTTTTCAATCTTTCACTTCAATTATCAATACACAGAAATGAGATATATTTTTACAAGGAAGTTTTCAGAAGTCACTTTATCTCAGATTTAACTGAACCAAGACTTCTTCTCAAAGGCTTCTCCATGAGAAGTCTTACCCTTGAAATGTACATGCTGTGAAAATCTTTGTTTGGAAAATCTTCAGGCAGGCTACTTTACAGCAACATACTGTATAAGAATCCTCCATTGAGACTGTTTTTATCTTCTTCAAGAGGAAAAAATGTATTGTTATATACAGCATGCAAAAACATTTCTTCTTGCATCTTTCTGATAGTTGATAAGTAGGTTTTAGGTTACTAATGCTTTCTAGGCTATAATCTAATCATTTCTGCATAAATATTTTATCAAAGTATTCTTAATAAGCATTACTCTTACCACAGCTACATGTCCCAAGTTGTACCACACATCTGCAGCTTGTTCCTCGCTTTCTGCTAGAGATAGTGCACGTTCAAATGAACTGAGAACCATGTCATATTGCTGGGCATAGAAACAGCAGAGGCCTAGATTGTTAAAGAGTTGGCTATTATAAATGCCCATCTGCAGGAGTCGCCTAGTTCAATATAAAAAGTAAATAAATCAATTTGTATTTTTTGGAGCATGCTTCTTGAAAGTTTCTTGTGCTCATGCGAATTCTATACACACACACACACACACACACACGTCAGTTCTCCTCATTCAGAAGCTTGATTCCTGCTGACTTCATTAAGAAGTTTTATTGGAACAGTACAGTCCTGCCTACTCAAGGGTAGTTTTGATTTTCCAGTCCAGCCTACTGTAGTGGGAGTAAAGAATGGCCTTGAAAGACAGGAGGAAGAGCTGCTACCAAGGCAATGATAAACAAGCATGGCTTGAGCCCATTCCAAGAAACTAGTTTGAGTAAATGTGTCAGGCCAATCTTTAGTTCATACTATTATAAAGTGAGGGAGGTGGGTAAGTGCATTCAGATTTGCAAGATTCTGTTACTATAGCTGTTACTTGATCTATCTGGCATTCATTTCTTAGACTGCTCTGCAGACATCTACAATCTAGCATTCCTTGTAGTCTTTCAATAAAATACTCTCAAGATCTACCTTTCTTAGCATCTGAGCTCAAGAAGGCTGCCTTTAGATAACCGAAAAAGGGAATTCTATACAATATATTTCATGGCATGGCAATTTCCCCCATCTCATTTAATATCACAAATTACAAATCATAGTGAGACTCTATAGGACAGACCACAAATCAGTTCATGTGTTCCCAGGGTTATCAACACTGGTGGAAATAATGGAGACCTTGAATCTGTTTTAGACTTGAGACTGTGGAACAGAACTAGTAGATATGTAGAAGCAATTCAAGATTCCCTTCTGTATTTTAAGTATTTCTGCAAACAATGTTTTTTCCGGTGACACAGGTCTATCAGGGCAACCTGGTCTACCCAAATATGGGACGGAGCATATTGCTTCCGCTTTCGCCTTTCAGCCCCAGTTCAGGAGCCTTTGCAGACAGCCGGTTTAATGACAAACTATTTTTGTGTGAATTTTGTTTCTACAAACACCTATTATGGATGTCTTAGTACAAAAATTAAGCTGTAGTTTCTTTCTAGATTCCTATCAGAGCTATAATTTTTAAGTTTGACAGACAATCCACTGAGTTAGTATACAATTTAAGATATTTTTCACATACCCATCCATTTTGTTTTTTATTTTTACTCTATTTCACTATTTCAAAAACTATATATATTTACTATCTTCTTACCTATAAAAACGTAAAGCTATCTCTGGCTGGTCAGAGTAAAAATGATTACTTGCAATGCATGAAATGGCTTCCACGTGGGTATTATCTTGTTTTAAGACATCTTTATAGAATTCTGCAGCCGTAGAAATGTTGTTCATTTCCTATAAACAGATAAAGATAAAGAGATAAAAGTATTTTAAATTACACATGATTAATAAAAACAAAAAGAGTTTTGTATTCCTTAAACATCCTTCAAAAGTAATTAGGGTATTTCCTCTAACCGTATCTGTATTTTAACCCAATAATTCTTTGCTTCTTTACATGTAATATGATCCCGGCAGTTGATGACATTTCCAACATTTATCTTCGAACATTTTAGCTAATCTTTCTGGTGGCATATGCCATCTATAAAACATCTTATACAAGTTTTCTTTATATGCTGTTGCCATTGTTAATTTACAATTTCTCCCTCATAATTGTTGCCATTTCTCCAATTCAATAGTATAACCAAAAAAATTTGCCCATGCTATCATTGTTTCTTTTACTTCTTCATCTTCTAATTCAATTCACAATAAATAATTATATAATTTCTTAATCATTTTTTCATCTGTTCCTGTCAGAATCTCATCCAATTCTGATTTCCCCAAATTAAAACCATACTGTCTATGGTCTGCTTCAAATCTTGATTGCATTTGCAATCTTGTATACCACTCTATCTCAATCCCTTGTTTTTCTAATTCTTGCTTTTGTTTCAGTTCTCCCTGTTCTGTTAAAATATCCTTGTATCTAACAATATTCCCCATATTTACAATATTTCGATATGTCAAAGCTTCTATTGTTGAAATCCACATTGGTATGTTCAAATAATGTTTTTCTTTCACTCTCTCCCACACTAATAACAAACCATTTCTTTCATGTCTCTGGAAATATCCATGTATCCTTTGTTTCCCATACCATAGGAAAGTGTACCAACCTAATAGTAAATCATGTCCCTTAATCACATATAATTATACATTTTTATTTTATATGTTCACCATTTTTTCTAGTTTACTCAAAGTAAGTAATTTGGTTAATAGTTATTTAATTGGTTATTTCCTACTTCTGTTTATGGACTGCTGTTGGGTAAAAGCTCTGGTGAATGATCTCTGGAGGGCTCGAGATGGAGGTTGTTCCTCCATTCTAGTTCTACTTGACCTCTCAGAGGCTTTTGATACCATAGACCATGGTATCCTACTGCAACGACTTGTGGGATTGGGGATGGGAGGCACTGTCTTGCAATGGTTCTCCTCCTACCTCTCAGGTCGCTTGCAGTTTGTATGGGCGGGGGGCAGAGGTCCACCCCGAGGCCCCTAACTTGTGGGGTTCCTCAGGGGTCGGTTCTTTCCCCCTTGCTCTTTAATATCTATATGAAGCCGTTGGGTGAGATCATTCGTGGCTTTGGGGTGATATCTCATCGATATGCTGATGATATACATAGTTATACATCTCCACCCCAGACCACCCCAGAGATGCCCTTTCTGTGATGTCCTGTTGCCTGGAGGCGGTGCAGGCCTGGATGGGTAGGAACAGACTCAAACTCAACCCCTCCAAGACTGAGTGGCTGTGGATACCGACATCTCGGGTTTCAGAGGTCCTATCACTTCTGATGGGTGAGGAAAAACTTGCCCCCGTTGTTAAGGCTCGCAACTTGGGTGTCCTCCTGGATGCTCAGTTGTCCCTAGAAGACCACCTGACAGCCGTGACTAGGGGGGCCTTTGCACAGGATCGCCTGGTGCGCCAGTTGCGCCCTTTTCTAGACTGACATGACCTTTGCATTGTCACTCATGCCCTGGTTACTTCCGCTTGGATTACTGCAATTTCCTCTACAAGGGGCTGCCCTTGAGGTGCACCCGGAGGCTCCAGCTGATCAAAAACGCGGCTGCGCGGGTTGTAATGGGAGCCCCTCATTACTCCCATATAACATCTCTCCTATGCGAACTACACTGGTTACCAGTGATCCTCCAGATCCGCTTCAAGGTGCTAGTCCTCACCTATAAGACCCTTCATGATTTAGGTCCGGTATATTTGCAGGACCTTCTCCTGCCTGCCTCCCACCGTCCTGTTCGCTCACATAGGGTTGCTCTCCTCAGGGTACCATCAGCGAGCCAATGCCGTCAGTCGACGTCTAGGGGGAGGGCGTTCTCTGTGTGCGCTCCCACACTCTGGAATGAGTTACCTACCGAGCTCCGTATGGCTCCTGATCTCCGCTCCTTCCGTCGTGACCTGAAGACTTGGCTGTTCAAACAAATGGGCTGACTATGATTCTGGGTTTTAATATTTTATTATTTATTACTTATTTGGTTTTAAGGGGATTTTATTGTTGCATGCTTTTTAACTTGTGTTCGCCGCCCTGAGTCCTTCGGGAGAAAGGCGGCATATAAATATATGAAATAAATAAATAAAATAAATAAATAAATAAATAAAATAGTACTATAGAACAACATCCGTTTTCTTCAGCAAAGAAACAGCCTTTTCTGCTTGTTTATATAATTTTCTGGCAGTTGTTACCAAAAGATTTTAGAAAGATTTATTTCCTACAATAGAACACATAGCAGGCCTCTAATTTCTAACGATACAATCCTAAACTCACTTAGTTTAGGAAAGAGGACAACGGTAAAGCATGAGCAGACTTCCAATCTCACAAAAGTGTACTGTATTTCAATGCACGCATCTGTCAGCATTACCAGTTTGCTTTTTATCATGATTTGGGAGTTTAGATTACAACTGTATTAGAATTCTTGAGAAGTTACATTTCTTTTAGTCTATTAGGAACAGACATTTTGTGACTGACCATGCCATTTGTGAATGGATGTGCTCCTTCCCAACATTCATATTATAAGCACGGTCATAATATTCTCTGGAAAATCTAAATGCTTCCCAGTCCCAAAGTCTGGGGGCTCTAACAAGGAGAAAATATTGACATTCATATATATGTGGGAAGGCAAACTTTTCTGGATTAAAAAACTTTTAACTGAAAAACATTCAAGGCTTTCTAAATTTCCATTATAACTCTAGCTGCAGTAATAAACAGTTTTAAACTTAAATATGATTTGCTTATGCTATTTATCATCTTTAAAAATGACTCTTCATTTCAACAAGTTTTGAAAGAACAAGTCTTTTCTAAAAAATAAAATTTATGTATTTATTTGTTATATTTAAACCTTGCCTTTTTACAGTACTTCCCCCTCCTATTTTGCCCCACAACAATAGCCCTGTGCAGTAGTTTGGGCTAAGAAAGAAACTAATCCAGGGAGTTTCAATGGCTGAGGACAGACTAGAATCCAAATCCCCCTGGTGTCAATCCAACATCTCATGTCCCACACAGAAGAATTCTCTTAAGCATTTTGTAATCTTTGAAATAATTGTACTGTGCAATAATTCTTACTAATGTACATGTGGCTCTCCACTCACCCAATACCCATGAAATCATTAGCAAGCTGCAAATCAAAATCAACTACCGGTAGTTCATTAAGTTCTACATGTCTTCATTGTTTGAAACAATGAATACTACAAAAAGATCTGGTAATGACTCCTTTGTCCAAGCAGGGATGTTTCTCTGAAACTGAACTATAAGCAATTACTTCAGTGGAAACTAGAAGAGCTGTAACTCAGTGATAAACTAAAAGATACCAAATTTCAGTCCTTGATATTATACCTAAAGCTATTGCAACAGTTTTAGAAATACTAGAGGAGGCGTTGCTAAAGCTAGAGAATAGGTCAGCTCTCCTATTCTTACATTTTAGGACAAAGAAGCCACAAGCCTAATCTTAAAGTTGTTTCCCCATTCTGACTCCTTAGCATTAACTTATTTGCACATCTAGGTACTGGAAGTTAAAGCAAAAAACTGTTTGAGGGCATACTCATCAATTATCCTCTTGATGCAGGAGAAATTTTTGATTTGCATACCTCATGAATCCTGGCCATACCGCAAAGGAGGGAAACTTCTCCAGGAAATCGTTCTAAACCTTGTTTGAAAACATTCAAAGCTGTCAAAGGCTGATCCAAGCGGGAATATACCTGGGCAAATACATGGATGTAGTTCCATCAATGTTAAGATTTTTACAATAACTATAGCCATGGAAATAAGCTGCCAACTGAATCATATCTATCATCTATCTATCTATCTATCATCTATCTATCTATCTATCTATCTATCTATCTATCTATCTATCTATCTATCACTTAAGGCTAGATAACTATTCTCTACATTTTGGCACTGCCTCTACATATGATCCAGGACAAAATTCAGATAATGCCACAACACTATAACAACATGGTTTTAAAAATGCCACCATTCTTTTTACTCCTTTAAAATATTTAATGCAACTGTTTTGTGTCCCTCTGCAGAACTAGTTCATTCATTCCAGCTCATGAAACCACCGTTACATTTCCTCCCCCCAGGATTCTGTTAGGCCTTTAGCAGGACATGGCAGGCAGTGAACGTTCAAGAGTGACAGGACAGCAATACAGTCATCTGCTGATGCCAGCTGGAAAATGCTAGTTACTAAGTATAAGGATAGGTACTATCCCCCAATATATATAGTATATTGGCTTTTAACTGTATTCTACAGTCATTTGTAATGAGAGATTACAAGGTGTAATTATCAGCTGTTTTTTTAAAAAATTGGTCAAGAATTTGGAAATGATTGTATTAAAAAGCAATTTCTTCAGGAGACTGAGCTCAGATACCTGACATGCATATACACAAAACCACACAGAAACATTTCTATTGCAGCCAGCTTCAAAGCTGAACAGGCAATGCAATGACATTCTAAAACTAGATTTACCCTGGTTGTGCAAACAGCAATAGAAAAAGCGTCCAAATTATCCTTTCTTATAGTATATTAAAAAAGCATTAGTAACTGAAAAACTGATTATTTTAATGAGCTTGCAAAAATTTAAGAAATTATAATCCAAGAGTTCCAAACCATTTGTCTAAAATAATAATTTTATTAATTGTAAATGCCAACTTACTTTTGCCAAGTACAGTACTGTATCTACCATATCTTGTTGTCTGAGAGCTGACTTAAACTGTGTTTCTGCTTCACGGTATAATCCTAGCCTGGACAAATTTATAATGAAAAGTATGTTAAAACCAACAAGCTAATAGTAAATGGGTTATATTTTACAACAATTATACAATAAAGCCACTAAAAATGAGAATATATATTCTACAATTTACTTGATTTGTAAAAATGAAATTAGAAAGGCTAAATATCATAATGAGATAAGATAAATGTCTTTTTTATGTTCCAAATAAAATAAAAGTAGCTACTCAATGAAGAAAATGCAGAATGCAGAAATGATATAATTTCTACTTTAGCTCAGTTTTTTTTTCTAAAAAGGAGATATGTTACATCAAACAATTATGAAGAGTAAAATGAAAGGGCAGTATAAAAACTTGCAAATGATTAAAATATATATGTATATGTGTGTATGTGTATATAATTTAATATATATTAATTAAATAATTACACACACATACAAAAGTAGTCCTCGACGTATGACAATTGAGCTCAAAATTTCTTAACCCATTTATTAAGATGGGTTCCCCCCTCCCCATCTTACAACCTTTCTTGTCACAGTTGTCAAGTGAATCACTGTGGTTGATAAGTTAACTAACCTGATTGTTAAGTGAATCAGGCTACCCCACTGACTTTTTGTCAGAAGGTCGCAAAAAGTGATCACATGACCCTGGGACACTGCAACGGTCATATAAACCAGTGCTAAGTATCTGAATGTTGATTTCATGATTATGGGGAAGCTGCAAATGTCATAACTCTGAAAAAAGGTCAGAGGTCACTTTTTTCAGTGCTGTTGTAACGTTGAATGGTCACTAAATGAACTATTGTAAGTTGAGGAATGTATTTGTATTCGGATATATTTGGATGAGTTAAAATTCCAGGGTTAGACAAATTACATCATCATATTGAAAAAACTTGCTGATGGTTTGACTGAACTTTATATATACAGAAATCCTGTGAAATGGGTGAAGTGCTAGACAATTGAGGTGCTAAACACTCTTCCCATTTTTTTTTTAATGAGGGAATTTACTGGACTACCGAATAGTCCACTTTCAGCAAATCACTTAAGGTACCTTTAAGTACCCCAAGGCAGTCTAATTAGCAAGTTAGCAAAGTATGGGCTGGATGGAGTGATAATTAAATAAATTTCCTTGAACATTCCATTCAAATAGTGCTCATTAATGTTTGTTCACCCAACTGTGAAGAAATATAAAGTGAATACCTCATGGTTCACTCTTGGATTCTGTATTCTTCAACACTTTTATTAATTATTTAGATGAACGGTGGAGGGAACATTTATCTAATTCACATATGACATAAAATTAGAGAAAATAAAAAAGTAGACAAATTTGGTTCCTAGTTTACCTGTAATAACACTTCCCAATTTGCACTTTCCACCACCAGTCCTTGAATTGGGCATACTGTGTGGCATATGCTGCCAAATCTAAAGCCTTGAAAGGTAAGCAAATTTACAAATGTCTTGTACATGGGAGAAAAAAAACATATACAATGAATATTTAACAGGTTCTAAAAAAAACCCTATAAGATTAAATCAGATAAATATGCTAGATTTTCTCCATTTGTAATTTGTCTCATGAGTTGAAATGGCAAAATAATTTTTTTTCTTTTGGCATAATTTTAACCTATTCAAACCTGGCAGCTTTCTTGATAAAGGCATTTAAAAACTTGTTCAAACTGCTCTACCACCTATATAATTTAATATTTTCCATTTTTAGTATTAATTCTTGTTAGGGTTCGGTTCCTCTTAAATTGGATCACTCCAACCATTTTATTACATGCATAATTAAATACTGAAAAGGTTTACACAAATTTTGTGTAATTAATTTCATGTTCAGCATTTTGTGCAAAGGCATAAATACTTCCCTAATCCCTCATATGCTCCAATTTTTCATTAAGGAACACATCGCATCCATAATTCACTATAGCCGCCTCTATTTATATAAATAAGGCATGCCCTTAATGAAAAGCAAACTTACAACAGTTTAGATAAATGAGCCACTTTTTTAATACAATAAATCATTTTGAGAAAAGCATCAAGAAACCTGAATGATACCATGAATTAAAATCCTGGATAGCAATTGGGGAAGAAGGGAGGGACTAACATCTAATTGTTTATGTGCGTTAGATACTGATAAGGCTGGGAGGTGACTTTTAATGACTTAACCAGCATTTGATCACAACAGGTATCAATATACTATTAATATACAATGTCATATTTGGATATTTTAGCAATTAGATCATTTCTAGATGATTAAGAATCAGAAAGTAAAGAATGAATGCTACTTCCCAGTATTATTCCTATCAACAATTATATTAAAAGTCAGTAGTGCAGAATTAATTTTCAACAAAAAATAAACAAGAGGGAATTAGCAGAAGCATATATGCAGATGATATGGACACATAAAGTTGTACTGTGCAGACAATATAACCCTTATTTTCTGCATGAGTAAACTATCATCCATTGTTTTGCATATCCATGAAGCAAGAAAAAACAAGTCCCAAACTGCAGATATAGAAAAACATTTATGCTAAGGCCTTGTCTCAACTGCAGATGAAAGCCACTTGTATTTCTTGGCAAATGTCAAGAAAAGAAAAACAAGACATCTTCAGTAAAGCAATGAAGCAACACACTACTGACTCCTTCATAGGACAACGGTGTAATAATTTTAATTCTTCTCTGTAATCAACAGTTTAAGTCATTTAAATACTGATTAAAATTCAGATAAATTCCTTTGGACAAGGAAGTCTCTCACCATATTTATAGGCAAAGACAGTTTGCCAGACTTAATTTACCCTTGAACCCAGTAAATTTGAACGCTTTTCAAGATACAAATGGTTTTCAATTTCCATTCTAGAACTCCAGTACACTGCAATGAAGGGAGGGAGGATATTTACAGTATTGTATGTGATGTATCAACATCTCATTGTTGCCTAAATCTGATACCCAGCCTTCCACAAATCTATACTAGGAAGGAAAAACATGAATTATAGACTGGTATTTCTTTAGAATAGTTTGCTTGCATAACTGAACTACTTAATTGCAAAAGTATCAATTTTGATACTTCTGAAAAATATGAAAACTTCGATGTTGAACATTACAACCTCATCTCAGAGCCTTCTCATTCATACAGCTTCTATCATCCTATTTTATTTTTTTTTTTGCAATGTAGTTTATCCATACCATGTTTTCCTTAGCAAAACAAATATATATATTTCTATATCCAGGGAGCTGTTTATATATATATTTCCAGTTTGGAAATAATAATCATTTGGTGTTCCTGCTTTTATTTTAATACTTTACAGAGATGGTTTTCCTTAAAATCTCTTTTAGACATCAATATATTTCTTGAAGCTGAAGATTAAGGGCACATTATCATGGAAAAGCTTATCCACATGTTTGCTAAGAACTGACACTGATTTGATGGAAATCAATCAATCAATCAATCAATATTTCTTTAACAAGAAATGGCAACTGTTTTCAGAAACCAGTTGATTTCAGAAACCATGTGTTGATTTCAACTGACCACGATATTTTTGGGGGGAAACCAGAATCATTTGAAAAACAAATTAAATTTAAATTATTTAACATGAAAAAAACTGAACTCAACCAAAAGCAAAACATTGTATATTTTTTGAAGTATGAAAATGCAATACCATTATCATGGATGAAAGAAATAAGAAATCTGTTTTCTTCAACTCTTACATATTTATCTCACACTCAAAATAAAAACAGAAAGAACATTAACCTTTTAAGATTAAGTATACTTACATTCTTAACATCACCCTCATGATGAAAAATGTATTCAAACAAAGCCTATGAAAAAACAAATGTAAAATAGGTCATCAAATTGGTGGCAAATAAGATCTACTTACATTTAATTAGAAATAAGTATTTTATTAGCTCATTTAAAATTAAAAGCAGATTTAGTAAAAATATTGAATGCAATAAAGAATTCACATTTCCAAAATGTAATCTCACTGCCTTGTTAGGGAAGAATTCTTAATCTTACACCTGAAATTAATTAATTACAATTTAGACCACGTAATTCCCAATTACTCAGTTTACAATTAAAAGAAAAAAAATACAAAAATCAAAATATAAGCACTCCAAAGGAAAATACAGTATATAATCTCAAAACCAAGCAACCAATTAGTTGATAAGAAGCTGACACATCATTCTATTCCAAAGTCTGGGAGAAAGCCAGGGAAACTAGATATCTTTTATGTGTTGCTGTTATTGTATTTATCAAAGAAGGAAGTGGGGGGAGTTACTTTATTTTACTGAAAAGTTGGATACTCTGAAAATTATCTTGGAAGATCAACTTTTGCTTTGAACAACTGATCACATTGTAAAAACAGTCCTCAATGTACAGTGGTTCGAATGAACAACAGCCTAAGAAAGGGTGTTTTACGCCCTGTAAAGCACATCCAGTCACTGCCAAAGGTCACATCACCATCTTGCAGTCACACGATTGCAATCTGGTACTTAGCAACCTGTTTGCACTTACAATAACTTGCCAAATGCCCCATAATCATGTGATCATCATTTACAATCTTCTCTACCAGCTTCTCCAGAAAACCAATGGGGAAACAGGTAGGAAAGGATGCAAGCTGCTGCCACCTGCCCAGAGAATACACTCTCATCTTAGGAGGCTCCCTGCAGAAGGATTTCGGCTCCATGCTTAATTTCATGGAACTGAAATCCTTCATGCCTGCTTTCATACAGCTGAAATCCTTTTGCAGGAAGGTCTCTACTGAAGCATTCCAGTTTGAGCTGAAATCCTTTGTGCCTGCTTGCACAGAGCTGAAATCCTTTAAATAGGCATGGAGCTGAAATCTTTCAGCAGGGAGCTCGAACTCAGCCTCTGGAGATGAAAAGGAATTGAAATCAAAGTAGCATTTTCAGCCCTGAATGAAAAGGTGGTAAAGTAAGAAGTACAGGATGTTCCAGGGGTATAGGGGATGCCCTTAGAGGCCCCGTGCAGGCTGCATTCAATTCTCCTTCCTCACTCAGGGGTTGAAAATACTGCTTGGATTTTGTCAGGGAGGATTTTCATTCCTGAGTGGAGAGGCAGCAAGGTAAGGTAAGAAGTACAGGGTGTCTCAAGGGTATAGGGGAGGCCCTGAGAGGCTAGTGCAGGTTGCATGCATCTTTTTACTTTCTGGGCTGAGAAACTGCACTATACTGAATTTGGGCATCTCTCCTGAAAAAAAATTTAGTAAAAACGTAAAAGATATTAACACCTGTTTTAATTAACAGGTAAGATTTAAAATAAACAAATCAAGATTGGTACATTAAACAAGCACATACCTTTGCCAACTTTGGTTTTTGAGCATAATTATTTAAATTCAGTTTAGATATATTTATGAAAGGGCCATCAGGATTAGTGAGCATGGAGGCCTGTAGTGGGAAAAAGCATCAAACTAAATGACACATCATATTTGAATTATAACTGGCAATACAGTATACAATTATGAGAAATCAATATAGTGCCTATACAAAATAATACATGGGAATAAATTGTAACATTTGCACAATTCCCAGCTCGTGCCACTGCTCCTAGAATTGAGTCAATTAGACTCTCACCTTCTCCTCAGTAGCAACAATGGCAATGGAGCTTAACAGGTAATTGGTTCTGTAGTGCCCATACAGAGTCATATAACTTGGACAGTTCTCAGTAAACTGTAATCAATAGGAATCTCCCTTTCTGAAAAAAATATTTATTTGCTTCACATTTTTCTTCTATTGTTAGCATGTCTAAGCTACCCAATAACAAAGGTCATTGGGTGGAATGAAAAGTTACTACATAATAATGAGGACAATAAAATGGAAATAATAAAGAGCACAGGAAAATATGGAACATATCATTTATAATCTATAACATGCAGAGCAGGTACAAAACAGTAAAAAAAGACTATACTTTGCTTGAACAATACAAGGCAACCATGAAAGCATATATTTATTAATTAATAAAAGATGTGAGATATAAAGCATTTGCTAAACCCAGTGGGGCTTACAGGACTATAATACCACACTGTATTTTTTCCTCATTACTATGCATAAATGGATGTTTGTGTATTTTGTTGAATATTTGACATTTAAGCAATAAGAAGCGAAGTCTATTAGTATTATATGGAATACACATATTTTCCAAAAGTCTGATCATGTAAACAAACATAAAGATGCTATTAGTTTTAATAAATTATTAATATAGCAGGGAGAAAAAATAGAGTATGGGGGGGGGGGACAACCTAATAATCCTTGCTATGCTGTATACATGTAGTTCCAATTTCCAAGATAACAAACGTAGGAGGATCCTTACTGTTCCAAGCCTGACATATCTCCCTGAAGCACTAGTCATTGGACGGGCAGTGTGAGCAGTTCTTGGAGTCTTTAAGGCTTGTTCAATGCTACCTGGTCTCCCAGCCTGTGTGCTAGGTCGTACAAAACCCGTCAGGGGTCGCCCTGTTTGTGTCACTGGCCTGAAATGATTCAAACATGGAAGAGTATCATGATAAAATGATTAACAGAAGCATTTATTGCTATTTGCAAATTCAAAAAGAGTAGAGATTGCCATATGGAACTATTAATAAAGATACTGTACATGTGCATTAACTCGATTTCCTGTGCATGAAATGATGTGTTACATTAATCATTATTAAGTACACACCCCTATAGGATTTACTCACTACCCCATTAAATGGCACTTACATAATTCTTATTTTTTTGAGGGAGATCATCTATGTTATCTTTTACATTGTGATACCTCTTTTTGTATTGCTATTTTTGTTCATACTTTTACTGCTTGTAATGTATTCCCAAACTTATTTGGCTATAGAACATGTTGGGCTTTGAATATATTGACAAAATGCATATGTACTAGTCCTTGAATAGCTTACCAAATCTCATTAAGGACCACAACAAAATTGTGGATTTATCATCCATAATGAGACAGAAAAATATCCTAGCATTTTCTGTCCCACTAAAGAGAACAAAAATCATTTTAAGTTTGCATCCTATTAGAGCAAGAAAAACACATTAAAGAAAAATATTAATAGACTGAAGCTCTCCTTCAGCTAGTTGTCCATTTATAATACAAAAAGCAATCAATGATGTTTTTTTTCACAGAACTTTATTAAATCTCTGATGGTATTTCATAGAATGTAGTATGGAAAACTGATTTCAAACTAGATATCACACTTGTAAGTTTGAGGTAGTAGTGGTAAAAAAATTAACAATGTATTTTATATGTATATTTAACAAATTACAGCTGTGTAATTTCTTGACCCAAAGTTTAGTCCATGACTATAACTTGACAGGCATTCTGAATACATAGGAACTATCACAAAGGAACTCTAAAGAATTGCTATGATTCCTATAAAATATATTTACAGAGTCTAATTTTTTAAAAATTTTAATTCCATTCTTTGGCAAGAAGACTTCTAAAGTAGCTTAAAAATATAAATAATTAGGTAACTCCTGTCAGTTCTCAGGCTTACACAAAATACACAAAACACAGGGCAAAATGAAAAGGGCTATAGAGGGAAAAAGAAAAAAAAAACACTAGCCCTTAAAGTTTATCTTGACCAGTTCAAATGAAAAGAATTTAATAGTAGCTGACACCTGGATGACAATTACAAAAAGCTCAAATCAGCTAGTCTCAAAACATAAGAAATAAAATACATCTATTTCTCTCTGTTATAATTCTATGTGATGATTATCACTTAAGTACAAGGAAAAAAATAACCAAATCAGTTAACCACTCTTAAGAAACTGAGTACAGTACCTGATAGCCTTGCTAGGCCCAGCACCATGACCAGTTCCAGGTATTTTAAGTGAAGTACCAGGTCCTATCAAACAAACAAAAAAACAAACAAACAAAATCAGGACATTTATAGATATTTTCCTATATATGTTTCTTTTGCCATTTATCTTTTGGTTCCCTCTCCCAGGTTTTTTAAAAATAAAACCCAAAGAGAGAAGATGCCAAGCACAGATGAATGCTATTATTTGTTTGTTTAAAAAAATGCACTGCTTCATTTAATCACACCATCATAATTGGACTCAGAATCAGTCAAAACTGTAAAGAGAAGATAATTCTCTTATGCAAACAAAATGCTACCTGCGAAGCGCTTAAATTACATTCATAATAAAGTAATTAAAACTGGAGATTTTAATTAATGCACTGGGGATTTTTCTTGAAAATCAATTTCTTAGCTTGTTGCAGTATTGATCAAATACAAATGTACATGAAGATTATTTACTGATATTTTATAGGCATATGAACATTTTAACACCAAATGAAAGCTTGAATTCTAAAACTGCAATAAAAATGTATTACTTTATCAAAACAGAAGATAATAATTTTAAAGAAAAGAAAAAAAAGATAATAGTTTAACTGATAGCAGTCACTCATTCCATAGAACAGCTTTAGGGAAAAAAGAAATTAATCACTGAAAAGGAATGTTGAAATATTAGGGAATCATAAGTTGCTTCTTGCAATATATTTTGGAGCAGATATAAATGCAGCTTACGTGCAACTTGTGCAATTGCATTTTCATCGAGCATCATTTCAGCTATGCCTTCCTGATCCACTTCAATTTCATCCACATAAACCATTTCAGTTAACGCTCGCATTTTTAAACACCAAGCAGCCTAAAATAGAGATGAGGAGGAAACAAAGTCCAGTAAACGAAAATTTCTACAAAATACATTCAATGTTTTAAAAATCAAATAGAACGCAATAGGCCAGCAGTAGATTATTTGACACTTGTGGGAAAAGAAAAAAGGCAAATGGGCTTTGGGATAATGAGATCTTGGCTGCATTATAGTTTTCAATGCAAGTATTACGTAGAAAACATCTCAAAACAACTAGAGAAATATGTGAGAAGGACCTCAAGAATGCAGAGAATGCATTCACAAATGCTCAGTCGTTCCCAGTATTACATTAGAAGGGAGAGATGTTTTTATCATGTACTTTACTTCCTCTACTTCCTTTCCTCACCTATAAGCAATAGAAAGTGTTCCATTTCAAATTAGGCAGAATCAGTAGGTGATACTACTGAACATTTAATTACATAGATAGGGAAATAAAAGGATTTATGTAGCTGAGCAGAAGGTAAATGATGCCGGATACAAGGCACAGGTACTACCAGGTGCAATTCTAGGTGCTGGTGGTTACCTTTAAAGCCCACCAGGATGAGAGACCACCTTTTTTCAACAATCTCTACCCATCCAACCAAGCTGAGCAGAATGGGCATGCTGCAGATCTTGTGAGCCAAAAATGTTGGCTGGTGGGGATCAGAAGGTAAGCTTTTTCTGCAGTGGCCCCTGCTCTACAGAACATTCTCCCTCCAGAGATCAGTATGGCCTCAACTCTGTTAGCCTTTTGCAAGGCCCTAAAAACCTGGGTATACAAGTATTCCTCCACTTATGACCACAATTGAGCCCAAAATTTATGTTGCTAAGTGAGAAATTTATTAAGTGAGTTTTGCCCCATTTTATGACTTTTCTTGCCACATTTGTTAAGTGAATCACTGCAGTTGTTAAATTAGTAACATGGTTGTTAAATGAATCTGGTTTCCCCATTGACTTTGCTTGTCAGAAGGTTGCAAAATGTGATCACATGACCCCAGGACACTGCAACTGTCATAAATGTGAGTTGGTTGTCAAGCATCCGAATGTAAATCACATGATCATGGGGATGCTGCAATGGTCATAAGTGTGAAAAATAGCCGTAAGTCACTTTTTTCAGTGTCATTTTAACTTTGAATAGTCACTAAATGAACTACCTGTGTTCCCAACCCTCAGGTGCTGAATGCATCAAGGGCCCCATTTCCTGGCTATATTGCTAAGTGGCCAAACATCTTGCTCTTATGTATATTTAATTTGGATGTTTTTAGAGTTATTGGTCTTACTGTTTTTAATGTTTTTAATATATCTAACTCATATATTTTTTGAATTGTAAGCCACCAGGAGTCATTTACTGAGATGGATGGGCAAAGAAATTGAATAAATAAATAAATGTATGCATTTTAGAACTCCATACAAATCCTTTATGTTGCATGCTGCTGCTTCATGCAGTATCATGTGATCACTCCTAGAAAGCTTTTGCTCAGCAGCCAGATCATGAAGTAATGAAGCCAACTAAGATTCCAAATTGCCTCCTCCCCCATTCTTTCCAGATATCTTCAGAAACAACACATCAATCTAGGAATAATTTGCTGATCTTGTGCATTAATTTATCCTGATGGCAGGGTGGAGGTTTATCTGCTTTAAGCACAAATAACAAATTTAATAAAGGACTTGGTTGGAGAAGAGCATATATTACAGGCCTGCTTTATTGTACTGATTCATTCACTTCTTAAAATACAATTTTTATATCAAAATAAACATAAGCTGAGCCTATATGATATTTATTTTGAAATACAATTCTAAGTATATGAAGTCATTTAAATATGTCCAAAAGGTTGAGAGGATTTGAATAGATAGTCCCAATAAATATTATAACCTTAAAAGAATAGAATTCTTTATTGGCCAAGTGTGATTGGACACACAAGGAATAGGACGTTGTGTCCCTGAACGTCCATTTTCGGGGCGCTGCGATTCCAATCCATGGACGGGTAGCTTCTCCTAGTTGCTGGGCAGAACTGAGTGCTAAACCTTCCCATTGTCAGGCCACGCCCACCTCAACCAATCAGCTTTCAGTCTTTCCTCACGAAGGCGCAGGAACCAGGCCAACTATGAAAAAACATAACAATTTTAATCAAGAGAAAACAACAGAAACAGGAAGCCGAATGGGTGGGTATGGATTGGAGTCGCAGCGCCCCGAAAATGGACGTTCAGGGACACAACGTCCTTTTTCCATTGCGCTGCTCCTCCAATCCATGGACGGGGATATACCCAAGTTCAGGAGTTCAGGGCGGGAGGCTGACTGGAGACCTCAGCCTGAGGCGTGGCCACTTGTTGTAAAACTCTACGTCCAAATGCAGCATCGGACGAGGCGTACTGATCAATTTTGTAGTGCCGGATAAAGGAAGTGTCAGAAGCCCATGAGGCTGCTCTACAGATTTCGGAAACTGAGGCATTCGTAGACCAAGCTGCAGATGCGGCCGCACTGCGTGTTGAATGTGCGTAGATCTTAGCCGGACGGGGGCGTTTTCGTATGTCGTAGGCCGTAGTGATGCAAGCTTTAATCCACCTGGCAATTGTAGTAGATGACACCTTCTTCCCCATCGAGGAAGGGGTGAAAGACACCAACAAGGATTCAGTCTGCCGAAAGGACTCAGTACGTTTGATATAACGCCGAAGAGCACGCCTAACGTCCAAGGTATGCCATAAGGACTCAGTCTGATGACGAGGATTCGGACAAAAGTTAGGTAGAACCAACTCTTGAGTGCGGTGGAATAGTGAATTTATCTTAGGTAAGAAAGATGGATCCAAGCGCAGGATCACTCTGTCACTATGAAAGATACAAAGGTCCTTGTGGACGGAAAGCGCAGTGAGCTCCAATATGCGTCGAGCTGACGTAATGGCTAAAAGAAAGGTGACTTTGAGCGTCAGAAATTTCAGAGATACTGAAGCCAAGGGCTCAAATGGCGATGTTGTAAGCGCTTGAAGGACTAACGGAAGATCCCAGGATGGGTACCTATGTATCACCGGAGGTGAGATGTTGGAGGCCCCATGCAGGAAACTCTTAATCCTAGGATTATGGGAAAGAAGATGGTGTTCCTCGCACCGAATGACTGTGGATAAGGCGGCAACCTGGCGTCGAAGCGTGGCAGGAGCTAGACCTTTTGCTAGACCACTATGTAAGAAGTTCAGAATGTCCGGGATATCTGCAGAGGTCGGGTCCACATGATGGGCCACACACCAGGCAGTAAATGTACGCCACGTAGACTCGTAAATTCTAGTAGTGGAAGGGCGCCTGGCAGCTTGGATCACTTTTATGACATCGGAAGACAGTTTGTCCTTCTGTAGCTGGAGCCGCTCAAGCGCCAAGCGGCCAATCGGAGCCACCCTGGATCGGGGTGGACGATGGCCCCCTGGCTGAGCATCTCCTCCTCCAGTGGTATTACCCACGGAGGAAAAGCGGACAGTCCCACTAGGTCTGCATACCAGGGCCGGCGAGGCCACTGAGGAGCTATTAGAATCAACTCGGCTCTCTCTAACAACACCTTCCGAATCAGTTTTGGAATCAGCGGCAAGGGAGGGAAGGCATAGAGAAGCCCTGGGGGCCACTGACAGCGTAAAGCGTCGTAACCCTCTGCACTGCTGGTCGGGTAACGTGTGTAGAACCTCGGTAGTTGGGCATTCTGGGGCATGGCGAAGAGGTCTACCTGAGGGCGGCCAAATTGCCCCACTATCTGATCAAAGAGGGCAGGCTTGAGAGACCACTCTGCAGGGTCCAGGTGCTCCCTGCTGAGTCAGTCCGCCATGATGTTGTCCTGCCCCGAAATGTGGTCTGCCACCAGAGATGCCATGTGCTTTTCCGCCCAAGCCAACAGGCTCTCCGACTCCATCATCAGGGATCTGGAGCGCGTGCCTCCCTCCCGATTTATGTGTGCCTTGGTGGTGACGTTGTCCGTCCGGACCAGCACGTTGACCTTCCAAGGTGTGAACAAAATGGCGCAAAGCGAGACGAACAGCCCTCAACTCCAGCAAATTGATGCTGTTCGTCCGCTCCGCTGGAGACCACTGACCTTGAATCACTGCATTCTGCAGATGGGCTCCCCAGCCCGACAGGCTGGCGTCGGTAACCAGAACCACTCGGTCCGGTTCGAGAAAGACACAACCTTTTTGCAGTGCGGGGGACCTCCACCACGTGAGTGACAGTCGAGCTTGTGGGGTCAAGACAATCCGATGGGATGATGAGCTGCGGTTCGTTCTCTGGAAAGGAAGCAACAGCCACTGTAGGGGGCGGGAATGTCTGCGTGCCCACGGAACGACATGGATGCAGGATATTAACTTCCCCAACAATTGATTCAACAGGAGCAGAGACACCTTCTTCAGGGACTGAACTTGCCGCACCATAGATCTGATGTCGCAAACTCGATCTGGGGAGAGAAAGACCTTCCCCAGGTGGGAATCGATCACAGCCCCCAGGTGTTGGAGCCGTGTCGTAGGTGTCAGATGGCTCTTTTGCCAGTTGATAGAGAAGCCGTGGTTCTGGAACGCCTGGAAGACTACCTCCATGTCTTTCCTCGCCTGCGACGGGGACGTTGACATTACCAGCAAATCGTCAAGGTAGCAGCTGAGACGTACAGAGCGAGATCGGATTGAAGCCGCGACTACCGTCACCAATTTCGTGAAGGTCCTGGGGGCCGAGGACAGGCCGAAAGGCATCGCCCGGTATTGAAAATGCATGTTGTTGTATTCGAAGCGAAGGTAGCGCCGATGCAATGGGTGGATAGGGACATGCAGGTATGCTTCGCGGAGATCTACCGATTGAAGATAGTCCCCTTGTCTGATAGATGCCAAAACTGTCCTGAGGGAGTGCATCTTGAACCTGCGATACAGAATGTATTGATTGAGGTGCTTTAGGTTCAAGATGCCCCTGTGGCCCCCTGATGACTTGGGCACCAGAAATAAGGTAGCGTAGAATCCAGTTCTCTCCTGACCCTGTGGCACCGGCTCCACGGCGTTGATGGAGAGGA